GGGGGCGTGTGTGTGTGCTGTCATATTCACTATACGCTAAAAAAAAAGCATGACTGTGTCAGACTGTTTCGTCGGACTTTCACCAACTCGTCAGGAGGTTGAACCCCGGCAGTCTGCCCAGGATGCACGTGACTGATGGATAAGACTCATCACATTGCCCAGAGTTAGCGATACCTCTGAGAAAAGTGGTTGGCTTTACTCACACCAACCCTGCAGTCCTAGCAGACTGTTGATCCAAACCCTTGACAAGAACAACAGTAAGTCTGAGAAACTAGTCTGACACAGTCATAAAACCCACTCTACACACCCACTCAGCCATGGACACCCCATGTGTGTGTGTGTGTGTGTGTGTGTGTGTGTGTGTGTGTGTGTGTGTGTGTGTGTGTGTGTGTGTTGTCAAGAAATCCCAAACTCTCTATCTCATTCCATCTCCAAGCCACCACAAACCTTCCATAAAACAAAAGAAGTATAAACAGGCGATGTAATAGAAAATGCAAGGTTCCCCACGTTGTGTGGTTGAGTGGGGAGTGTCCACACACCCGTCTGCCACATAAGCGGCACACTTGCACATATATATAAAGGGGAGTCAAAAGAAGAATGAGTAAAAYGAATGGTTTCACTGTGCCCTTCATGTTTGTCTGTTTTTTTTTTTGTTTTTTTTTTTTTACTTTTGCCGTTTGTTTCGCAAATTGTGCTGTTTTATTTCATAGTTATGTGACAATATATATGTGACGATATATAATCAGTGAGAGGATTCTACAGACTGTTGAGGGTTCAGCCTCCTGATGAGTCGGTGAAACTCCGACGAAACAGTTTGTCACAGCCCCTCGTTTGTTGTCCTCTTCTCCCTCTCTGCCTACGGTTATATATATATCGTCAAACAGAGCTGCCTGGTAAACCGTAGGCAGAGAAGAAGAAGAGGACAACAAACGAGGGGCTGTGACAAACTGTTTCGTCGTAGTTTCACCGACTCATCAGGAGGATGTGTTGTCATATTCGCTATACAGTGTATACACTAAAAAAAGCATGATTGTGCCGGACTGTTTCGTCGGACTTTCACCGACTCATCAGGAGGTTGAAGAGTGTGTGTGTGTGTGTGTGTGTGTGTGTGTGTGTGTGTGTGTGTGTGTGTTGTTTTAAAAGACCCCAGATTCTCTCTCTCATTCCCTTCACAAATGATCACAAGACATCCATAAAACAAAATGGTTAAAGATAATAATAAAAAATGCAAGGTTGGCCGCGGTTGTGTGGTTCAGCGCCAAGTGCCCCCACACCCGTCTGCCGCCAAAGCGGCACACTTGCACATATACAGATGCCTATGTATATATTTCAAAGTCCATAAGGGGATGCAGGGCATAAGGCAACTTACCTAAGACAGAAGACTACTCCAGCAAGAAGGCACCGACCCGGCCCCCTCAAAGGTCCGAAAGGACTTGGACAGCCTTCCGCATCGGTCCACAAAAAACCAAAAACTAATTTACCAAAAAGAAACAAATATAACAGCATTGGCATTCCCGACATTCGTCTCAATCTACACACTCGCGTCACTGCCAAAGAGGAGAAAGAAGATCAGAGACAACTTACCTAACACAGAAGGCTCCTCCTGCAAGAACACACCGATCCCCCCCTGCTAAGGGTCCGAAAAAACTGGGAACGCCTTCCACGCCGGCCCACAATACATTCCCCCCAAGAAGAACTCGCGGCCACCCGTAAACATCCAAACAGTCCATGCTCTAAAACAGGGCAAAAAATTAGGCCGTGTGTTCAATTAAGGCATAACATATCATGCTAAAAAAAAAGAAAAAAAGAAAAGAAAACAAGAAGAGAAAAGAAAAGAAAAGAAAAGAAAAGAAAAGATTGTCCTTAGGGCATGGTAACCGCGGACCCGGACACCGGACACTTCCGGACTGTCTTCCGGACCAGTGTCTGGACCGGTCCGGACTGTCCGGTGATCCGGACATCACCGGACACCG